CTCAGTAGAGGAACTGCATCAAAAACCTCATAAAAATCCAAGAAAGGCTCGATGGGACAAATTCGCGGAGTTTACCGAGTCGAGGCTTATATCTACATGTAAACCTCTGCCTCAAACATTGATGGGCCTGTAAATTCAATAAATTCAAAGATTCAATTAGAATTCAAAGATTTTAATTGGGTGTTATGGGAAAACTTGTCCGCTCACCTCCCCTGGCAAAAGATGACAACCTGTTTGGTGGTCTAAAGATCTAACCAAGCTCAGGAAATTAAGTAGACGATTATATAATAGGACCAACAATACCAAAATGTATACGGACTGGGAAGCTTATAAACATTCTTTCAACAGGTACAAACGTGAGATCAAAATGGCCAAAAGGTTATCATGGGTGTGTCTTACTGAGTAGAAGATGTCAATGAAGCTTCCAGATTTCGTAAAGTTTTTTCAAAGGACCCTAAATCCATTGGATGTAGAAAACGAAAAGATGTAAGTTGGACTGACTCTGGTCTAGAGACTCTCAATCTGTTAACCAGTACTCACTTTCCGAACAGCATGGATGCGGGAAATGATCGACTGTTAGAGCGACATAGTCAGCACTGTGGGGTAGAGGAGGTAAGTATCATTGATAGGATTGCAAGCACCCCCAAAATCTTATGGGCGATAAACTCCTTCAAATCTTTCAAGTCACCGGGACAGGACGGCATTACTCCCGCCATGTTAAAGCACGCATCGACGGTAATAATGCCATTTCTGGAAGTGATCTTTAAGGCTTGTCTGCTTCCCTCTCACATTTCATCGCTGTGGAGGGAAATTAGAGTCACTTATATTCCCTTTGACTTCGATGAGCACTGCTCAACATGCCTACATGAAAGGTAAATCTGTTGAAACAGCACAGCATGATGTAGTAAGTTTTGTGGAGAAGAACGACTCGTACTTCACTTTGGCAGCCTTTCTCGATATAGAGGAGACTTCAACAATGTTACACTTGAGGCAATTCATGGTTTCATTACAAAACTTAGTTTACCACCAACTCATGCATTGGGGAGTGCTCTGTCAGGAAATCGTTTCCATTTCTTTGTCTTCTGTCTCCATTACTTTGTCTTCTGGTAACAAAGGATACTCTAAAGGATGGAACAAAAGTAGTGGCTTACGCTGACGATGTGGTTCTACTGATTGCGGGTAAATTCTTGCAAACTGTTTCAGATCTCATGCAGGGAGTTCTTGTGAAACTCTCTAGATGGGCACGATGCAACGGCCTCGGCGTGAACCCATTTAAAACTGCGCTCATACTTTTTACAAGGAGGCGGAAAATCCCAATTTTTTAGTTGGGTTAAGCCTGCCAACGAAAGATAAGTACCTAGGTACTGTCCTTGGCCAAGAAATAAATTGAAAAAGGAACATCGAGGATTCCTTATATTTTCGCAATTTTCTTGCGATTATAAATTCAATTGTGCTATTTTTTTTGTTTTGGACTGTAGTGCATCCAATCGCCACTGGAGTTCACCTTTCCCGTAAGAAAATAGTTACAAATTTTCAGTTTTCTCAGAGTTTCACCGATTTTTTGTAATTCTCAACATTTTTGAGTAATATGTTTCTGCACAACTCTTGAAAGGTCTGCTATTATTCCATTGTTTTTTTAAAAATGGGAAAGAGAATTTTTATTTACCCTCTACAACATCCTGTCGTTGTCGTTGGATTCTTTTATTAGTAACGCTGATCACACCAAAACCAAAAAACCAGCGCAATCGCTCCCACCATGACAGTTACCGAAATTGACAATTTGTCATCGTCCCCAATCTACGTCGATGACATAAGTTCTTGGATATGGATATGACGGAGCAGTTTAATGTGGTTCGCAAGCATAAGAATTGAGTGAATTGTTTTGCACTGAATCATTCACACGGTTCTTGTTTCAGTGACATCTTTCCACCTAAATCACGATCGGATTCTCGGTTCGTTTCTTCGCGAACATCCCGAAGGGATCTTTCACCTCCCTGGTTCAGTAAAATTGGACCATTTAGCTAACCACGGTCCTGTGTCTGTTGAATTCCGCCTCTCCAGTAAGTCGCGTCGCGACGTTGACACTGAGGGAGAAGATACTGTGTCAATTAACACAATTTTAGAGATTCGATTCGAAGGTGAACTTCGAAGGCACATTTCGCGTAGAAAATCGGGTCACCACTAAGACACCAGCCGAGTCTCTGTTCGATGCTTTTAAGAAAAATTTCCCACATCTTTCTTAGCCTCAATCATCGGAGATCGATATTGTCATTGACATCGATATCTATCCCAAAGTTATCACGGAGGGGGTGTATGTATGAAACGGTTTACCGACTGCCCAAAGTACGGTTTTCGACTGAGCCATATATGGCCTGTGCTCTTAAAAATAATAATTTGTTTTGTTTTCTTTTTCAACATTAATTCCGTCAAAGTCGAATTTGTCTAATTACAATTAACAAGTTCCAGAACTGTTTTATAACTTCAAGAATGTAAACGTTTTTATTGCGTTAATCAAATTATCCATTATGATATCGAAATGGCAAACTAGTCGCTTCTTGTTGGTTCCGGGACAGAGCAAAGGCGTAGTGCGTTAACTCTACATTGGACTTTATAGTATCATTAGTAACACACTTTAATTCATATTTTTAATACTTGTGAAAAGAGAAAGAAACCAATTAGTTGAAGGAAGAATACATTCCACTTTCTTTGAAAGTTTATAATATATTTACAATTTCCTTTACATATATGATTTTATTTTGTTTTTTGCTGAAAGAGTGCGCTCCTGGGAATAAAAAAAATGGGTGTGAGAAAGTTTTCCTCGTTTTTGAGTGTGCCCAAAATTTGTTGAAATGTGAGCTGATCTACTCTTGCCTAGCTAAGAGTTGCGTTTGTATGTGTTTGTATTTTTGCAGCCACCATTAGCAAAAATAACAACAACAATCAAATCAAAAGTATCGTTGCCTATCTTAATAAAGCCTGTGCTAGTGCAGTTGTTTGTGTGCTTGTTAGCTTTGTCAGCGTGGTTTGTAAGCTGTCGTCATAAATGATTTAGTGTTTAAAGTGAAACCAAACATATGACATGACATAAGCATCCACCAACTTAAAACTAACAGCCGTGAGTTTTTGAATTGTATAAAATTGTGAAAAAAATATCTAATGGGTAAGCACCATCCTAACAAATTATGACAACACGTTTCGAAAACTTCTAGGAATGCGTTTATCCAAAAAACACCGGTCCCCTGCAATATATTCTGCTGTCTTTTTCTTCGATTTTGTACACGATAAACCTAACCTCTTGCCTCCTTTCCTTCAAAGTGCACAGCAACATAAAAACCGGTTTGCTGTCGCAAACACACACGAATCACCAAAATAATGCTCTACTCATATTCACTCTTAGAGAAAACTCTTCATCTATTTTGAGTAATTCTGCTGCCACTCTAATTTTTCAAACAAGAGTGACTCAGGAGTGCTCCCACACAAAATAAAAGAGTGAAGAGTAGACTCCATTAAAAACCACCACTCTTTTAGCAATCGCATGACAAAGAGGAAAAAACAAAACGGATCAATATATAACATCACTATTCATCACTGGTATCCAATTGACCAAAGGCATGGTACAATAAAAAGGTAAGATGTCCGTAAATTAAAACACCTTGTTGCCTATAATTTTGAATAATTCTGACAGGAAGCGGGCATAGCCTCTGGGTTGTATTCCTGTAGTTTTACGAAGCTGTTCTACCTCCTTATTGTACCATGCCCAAAGGTAGAAACACAACAATGTCATAAATTGATTTTGCGGTAAGTAATCTCATTTGTTAAAAATTGTTTTTATATATTTTTGACATAATAAATTTACAAAACTTTTGTTCGCTTGCAAAATGTTTGCCCACTTCTGAACTTGTAGCATTGAACTTGTTTAGCTATGTTTACAATTGTTTACTTTGAAAATTTTGGGGGAATTTGTTGTCCAAAAATGAGATTGAATAATGTACCATGTGAACTTGGTATAACTGAAGTTGTGCGACTTTCGTACTAGTATCTACGATACGTCATCAGATGTTACGTTGCGTGTGTTCCACTAATTTTGATTGACAATCATTTGGCATCGTCAAAATTAAAGTATGTTGTGTGTTTGGAGATTTTTCGACTACTAAAATGGCAGACGATTTACAAAACTATAAATTACAACTTCAGCAGGTAATAATATTTATTTTTGACAGTATATTTATCATCTAAAATACATCTGTGTTTAGGTGGAAGCTGCTTTACTTACAGACCCTGAAAATGAAGAGCTTCTGAAGTTGAAAAAGGATTTGGAGGAGGTCATCGAATTAACCCGAGACCTCGTAAAAACTCAGCTAGAGGAGCAAAGTAAACCTGCATATATTGAGCCTGCAAATTCAAAATCTTCATATGATGATATAGAATCAGCTTTGATTCACGTTGAGAAACTTTTTTCGCCAAGCAAAGTATGGAAAATTGGTGATAAATGCCAAGCAAAGTGGACAGAAGATGGGCAGTTTTATGACGCCACCATTGAAGATATTACGGAACATGGTGAAGTTAGAATTATTTTTGATGCTTATCAAAATCGATCGACTACACTACTTAATGAGCTTCGTGAGAGAAGTAGTCGTACAGAAGTTTTTCCGAGTAACAAGCGTCATAGGCCTAATCAGAAAGAGTATCTTAAGAAACGAAAGCTTAAGAAACAACAACGCTTTAAAGAACTGGAAGAAGAACGAGAGCAAGATAAAAACAAATGGTTAAGTTTTACCACAAAGCATTCAAAAAAGCAAGGAATGCAGGTAAAAAGTATTTTTGCATCTCCTGAAAATGTTGAAGGTCGTGTGGGAATCGGTACGTGCGGTGTTGCTGGTAAAGGAATGACGGACTACACAGTCGGTGAAAAACATAGAAAAGGACTTTAAATTATTAAATTAACTTCAATTATGATTCTAAGGTGTTTTTTTTTGTAATAAAATGTATTTCATACTTACTTTGACATCATTTTATCTCTGTCATTTCCTCTTCCAGCTTGGTGAACGGAATTTCGCTTTTGAAGTATGTATTGATTTTCTTTTGCTTTTGATAACGTCTCAAATGCAAGGTCATCATGGCCGGCCTTTTCATGGACACGTGCCAATAGCAAAAGTTTTTTTGTTCTGAGCTGGATCTCTTCTGCATCCAAGGAGTCCCTGTGTATAGAGTGATAATTAAGATATTAATTTACTGCTATGAGATTTTGCTGTTGAATCTAAAACAATTTTCTAGTCACTTTAAGTCATATGTGATACCCTACTCACTAACTTACGATAAAGTTCCTATAGATGTGACCTTGGAATAGAATTCCTCAAGTAATAGGACTACATTAAAATCATTCAAATTATTAAGGTCCTCAAAATGTTTATTAGTAGAATTCAGTTCAAATTTATTGAGTGCTGTGTTATTAAATCCTCATTTAAAATAATCCTAAAGACGCTGAAACCAAAATCACAAATTTTACATTCAAGACTAGTTTTTCCAAGCATAATTGACATTACATGTTTGTGAATGTGTCTGGTCCATTTCACTTCATTGTATAAATGTTTATGTATATGCAATATATATCATAAATTTTGACATTTTTCGCTGTTATGGCCCATTTCACCCGCTAAATATTATGTCTCGATTTCCATCTAAAATGTTATTAGTCTTCCGGCAAATGTATGAAATGAATAACATAAGGAATATTCTACCTATTTATATAAGTGTTCACATTTATTTTGATGTTACAAAAAAACAATTCCCGCATCATATTTCAACATACCACAGGTTTGAGCTAATTCGTGCATTTAACATGCAAATCCCTGTCAGCATATTGCCACAAACATGGAAAACTACTCTCAATCAGCGAACAAAACAATCGAATAATATAAGTCACAAATTTTAATTTTTTTTCAATCATTTTGTACTCCGAACGAAAGAAAACCACAAACATTTCATTGCCAGAAGTACACAAACAATTGGTCTGTTCCAGAAGTGCAAGAATGTAAAACCTTTTACTACGATAACCGATTTTCCCTTTATGATATCGAAAAAATTGCAAAAATAGGAGATTCTTGCAGGTTTTGGGAGATAGGTAGATCCATATGTAAAATGGTGGGTCTAGAACCAATATTTCGAGGTGTTACAAACTTTCGTTGTTGGGTATAAAAGAAGTTTCATTAATGCACTTGTCTACTTTCTTTTGCGCAAACTTTTACGGATTAGGTTGATAATTCCGTCAACCCCATTTATACTGTTATTTAAAATGGAAAACGATCGGAGGCAATCATTATTAGAAATGGAAACAAATCTTCGTTTTGAAAGCACAAATTTTTGACAGAAAGGCAATAGTGTAAAATCATGGTACCATGGCACAATAGCTGCAGGTAGAACAAACCTGTAAACTAAATACAATTTTTTTCTTTTGGTGTCTCTATTCTGTCAAAGTATATACACAGCCTTTATATGTGTGTGTATTATTTTGAATAAAAAAGAAAATAATTTGAAATGATTTCAAATTTAGAGACAACAGAAATTCTTATTTTTTACGCTAACGGGCAACAATAGGTGTGTCTGGTTACTTTTCCAGCAGGAATTGTCCAGCAACTTCTTTCTGAGAGAGTAATGCTAGGAACACAATTGGAGCGAACGACGAATTTCGCCCTACGCGGCGACAAAATGAGCCGCGAAAATTCGTCGTATGGAACACAATACCGACGAAATTATAAAACAGCTGATGAAGTTGTTTACTTTTTGCTCATTTGTTGACTACAATGAATTATACAAGAACACATAATTCTTTACGTTCTCTATTATAATTTCACTTATGTCCATCTTCTCTATTATAAATTCACTGATATCCATCTTCACTCAGGCGCAAGTACACAAATAAATAAACAAATTAATTATGTTTTTTTTTATACGAGTAACAGATAGTAGAGTGACCATAACAAATTTTAAAGTAAAAAGTAACTTTATTTACTAAAACACATAAAATTCGTACAAGTATGGCCACCTTGTACTGTTTTGTTCGCCGGTCGCCGGCGTATGAAATAGAAATAAAGCTAATTGAGTTCGCGGCGACCGACGAAATTTTCGCCGGTGCCGTGATTGTGTGCACTTCCATATACACATATGTGTTTTATTTTTGACGACGAACATACGCCGCGAAAAAATTCGTCGTTCGCTCCAATTGTGTTCCTAGCATAAGGTAGTTTTATTCTCTTTTGCAAGGAAAATGCGAAAAGTAAACAGACGGTATTCCTGCAGAAGCTTGCAACTAATCAGCTGATTTGTCAAAACAAACCAATTTGTCCCCATAAGGAGAATTAAAACAAAGGAAGAAATACTAATTTTACAAGTTTTTTAAATAAAAATGTTGGAAATAGTCTTTTATTTTCTTATTACATATTAATATTTACTTTTTTCACATTTTTTTACGTTGTTCTCAAATTGAAACTAAACAAACAATAGAAAACATCTGATTGAATGTCGATGAATGGGAAGAAGAAGAGTTGCAAGTGATTGCAAGAAGAAATTTGTCCAGCAAGAATTTGCAAACTCTCACTGAAAGAACTGTCAAAATTTCTCTCTCCAACCGCTCTATTTTGCAGAACTTTCGGGTTAACAGACGACTTCCAGTAACAATTTGTAACAATTGTTACAAATTTTAGAGTAACCAGACACACCTAATATGTATAATAAAACAATCTTGTCCTACTATGATGGATACAATTTTGTGGAGAAACACCAATATTCCGTTCAAGTTTTGTGGGTTTTCGCCATGGTACAATAATATAGATAACAGCAAGTGTTGCTGTACAGCAAACATATGTGCTACAAGTGTCAGAGTTATTTGTCCAAAAAATGTAAACAGAACAATTAATTTTAGGAATTTGGGTTATTAAATTTAAAATACAAAAGAATAATTCTCAAAATATTTAATTTTAACGCTTTCATCTCATTCCACTGAATGTATAGTTTTAGCTGTAGGTCCACATCTCTGGGAAAAACATCATCCCTTTCAAATTGAAACCAAACTGCACATAAACATAAAGTATTCTACATTTTGCAAATTAAGGAAACATGAAATATATATTAATATGGTGTCGCTGTTCCTTTACCGCGAAAAAAGTGTATACCTATTATATATCAAGAAATGTAATTAAATCATAAAACGTCATATCGAATTTGTCACTAGGCTTACTATAGAATCAATCAGCTGTGGTTTGATGTTACCTGTAATAATTATACCATGGGTTTTCCCCAATATAATGACTTTATAAATAAAAAATTAAATAAACAAAACCAAATTTTGCATGTTTTAAAAAATCTATTTGACACAATAAGTACAGAGTTGAATTTTCCTAGTTTCTTTGAAGTTAAGCAACCTTTCTTATTGACAATGCATGGTACCATGAAGCGAAGGTAGGCTAAGTTGGAAAATTTTGCAAGTAAAGAGGACTACCAGCATGGATTGTAATGTCATAAAATTAAACGAAAGCTCTACATTTATTTCAAAATGATGTTCATATTTCTCTAAATATTTATTTCGGTACAAAAAGTGTAATTTTTGTTCATACATATGTACGTAATAATACGCATTTTAACTGCAATTGATTTTGAATATTTTCTCAAGAATTTTCATACGGCTGAAAAGCACACATTTGCAAAAAATAATTGACATGTTAAGCTAGGCAAATAAAAAAATAAACTCGAATGGTTTCATTGTAACATGTGTAAAATCATGGCACAATTACAGAAGGTGACCCATTCTGTCAACACATATACACAGTTTGTTTATGTGTAAACTGTTTAAAAAAAGATGGTGCAACATAAATGCATAATTTCCAGGTTTACAGACAATAAACTGCACAATTTTGGGTTAAAACAAAAGAGTCTTGGACTCAAAAAAAGAACATTAACTGGAATAAATACTTGATTGATTGTGATTTTGGAATTCATTGGGTTTGCCACAAGCAGCACAATTGATGATGAGCCAAAAAAATATTCACAAAATAATGTTTATGGAAATACTGATTCTCGGAAGTGGATGAAAGCTTTTAAAGTCTTTATAAAAATTAAATTTAAAACGTTTGAGTGATTCGATTGAAAGTAATGCTTTACAAAAACAGTCTAATAGCTTGTTCAACAAACATATTTTTCTACCATTTGCAAGTCAAATGGCAGGCAATTAGAATTTTTGGTTTTCGTACGGACGAAAAAAGTAAATGAAATCAAAGGAAAGCTCAAAAGTCGGGCGGGCCTACACCCTACACCACTATGCATATTTAGTAGAACTCTCGTAAAAGAAAGGTTTATATTGCAAATTCTGAACTCTATGTCATACCTGGTACAAAATATCGTTATGGTAGAGAGCATATTCCAAAAGTTGGAGATTTAAAAACCAAATCGGATGAAACATATATATGGGAGCCAATTTGAAATTCTTCCTTCTATGCTAAACTCGGTTGAATTTCGAAAATTCACTCCATTTGGGCTAATATTAGCTATTTGGTGCACAATAAACATGAACTCGAAAAATGATATATATATGGAGGCTATATCCAAATCAGAGCCGATCTTCATAAAATTGAAAACAGCTATTTCTTGGCTGCATCTGATATCTGGTACCAAATATTATTGTATCGTGCACCAAATTTAAAATACTTATTTATATACTAAATTCGGTCTGAAGTGCCAAAATTCACACTATTTGGACTGATATTAGCAATAGCAAATATAATCATGAATTGCTAGGCTGTATCTGATATCTGATGCAACATATCAGTCTCGTGGAGTGCATATTACGAATGTGAGAGTCTTAAACACCAAATCGGATGAAACATATATATGGGAGCTATAGCTATATCTGAACCGATTTTCAAATTTGAAAGCACCTGTTTGTAGGCTGAATTCCGTCAGATGTAGCAAAATTCAAACCATTTCTACTGATATTGACCATTTCCAAATTGTTATTTAGAAAATTTCATCTCAATCGAATAATAAATGCGACCTGCATTTTGTTTACAAAAATACATGGACGGACGGACAGACAGACGGACGGACATGCATAAATCTACTAAAAATGTGATTCTATGCTGATCACCAAAAGGAACTATGGGTTTATCTCGTTTTCTTCTCCATGTTACATACAAATGTACAAAGACAT